GGAATATGCTAGGCAATTTGCCGTGAGCACACCTTTCCATCCATCTGTGTTTACAAACAGTCCTGCATCGACATTGCGGCTGTCCGGTTAGGTGGTCGATTAACCGAATTGATATTTTTGATGACCTAGTCCGGATATCCACTGATTAGTTTGCTTGTAATTGATTGTGTTCGTAAGCCCCGCCTGTTGATTTTGCTCACTCTGTGAGTTCAACTGGTTTGATAAGACATATGCACTAGAACTGTGATAATCAGCGGAAGCTATTGACCATCTTCAAAAACATCACATGATACGCTTTTTTACAAAACACCAACATGCTGTGTTCGGTCTTGTTCCAGTTGTCACCAACTGTCTGCATGAACTCGTCACTATCCACGATGCCTTTCGTTGGGTATCAAATGGGCAACTTGCTGATATATGTCGGCAGATCAAAGTGTGACTTATGTTAGAAGAATCTTTCTTTTTACCGCTAGTTCACTCTTCATGCGAAAAGAGGTTTGACAGATCACTTATAGTCCCATTAACGACAATTACGAAGCATCTTTCTCAAGTGATAGTTTCATGCTTGAGGTGAATCAGCTGTCAAAACCGGAACTTACGGCCCTTCATTCTCAAAACGAGTGTATATCTTTATTTTGCGTTATGTTTTTTTTTTAAAAATACATTTTTGAGCACAACTTTTTGCAGAAATCCAAAAGGGTTAATTGTTCTGATACGGAAGCTTGTAGTTAAAATGAAGCAAGCTGTTCTTTATTGTACGCATGTCAGAAGTTTTTTTAAAGTTAATTCTAAAGCTGCCGCGTGTACTGTCGTGACCTTATTCTGTCAGTGTTTCCGTGATACACTTACACGTTTTATCCCCCGCAAAATGGTAGTTTCGAGCACCGCGTCATTTGGTGCTAAATGGGGTAAAAATTTCATCGATTGCCTGTATTGTTTTTCCCTTTCATCCTACATTAGTTACACACTGTGTTGGCTGTTTGTTAACATGATGGCATGACAAAAGGTATTATTAGGGTCATGGAAAACGTGAAATTTGAGCCGGGTCGTAGACCTTCATAGATTAGTTATTCCTCGTATTGCCTCACTGCATAGTAAACAGTCTTACGCAACTTTTACACATCAGCTGGCACGTTATGACTTGGCGAAGTTTTATTCACTAGTTCCTAGAAACTTGTTTTTCTGGCGCAGAATATGGCTATATCAAATAACGTTTAGTCACACGCATCGCCCCGTGTGATCTAATGGAATTCCCAGTCTACCAAAGAACGTTCAGTGCTTGTAATGTGAGTTCATTACATGGGAAAAAATGGAGTATGTACCAACAAATGTCAGACAAAAATCATGAACATACAAATATTTGATTACCAAGCTTTAACTTTTAACATGTGGTGCTCTTCCATGCAACATTTTGTTGTTACGCAGATGTTCACTTGTTGCATGCGTTTGGATGCCGGATGTTTGTGAACCGACGTTTTTATTTGCGTCTGATCTTCTTTTGTAATTTTTTAGACGTATCCTTTCGGGCCGTCAGCCATGGTTCGTTTGTTTCCAGTCCTGAACCGGGAGAAGACGATTACGAAAACCGCTTTCTAGGTCATGAGAAGCATTTATCTTTCTCCGGGAATCTATACTCTTTGCGATCCGAATCCCCTTTGGTTCCATTAACAGACGGAATTCTGGACGCCCTTGAAAGTGATGAAGAAGTTATTAATCCCAAAGAATGTCCTGATTTAGACATTGTTGCTAATCCTTCTATGAAAAACTCAGAAAAATCCGACCCTGCCAACTCCACTACGAATATAACTCAGAGCGAAGAATTGCTTTTGTCAGTGGAAGATCAATTAGACCCTGGCTCAAGGCAGTCTATTGAAAGGTCCGATATAGAGGAAATTTATCTCACAACTAGTCAATCCATGACAAAACTTCGTCAGCACGCGGATCGTATGCTGAAAGCTACAGAATCAGCCGAATGCGAGCCTCGTAAATGGCTGGATAATCTTTCACCATCACTGGATACCACAGAAATTTTCACGCAGTGCTTATATACCACCACCAGAACCTCGAGAACGTTCGTCAAAAATACCAGATTCCGACGCAACCAAGCCGGAACTTTCCCCCGGTCAAGTCCCATTCTCGTCGAGAGTTCCGCCCTCACACTTCTGCACTTGTAGTGAGGTGAGCACTTTTCGACCTTATTCGGATGAGCACGCCATATCGATCTGTTTTCTTTATTTAGTCTTCACTAATCGTATGGATTAGAATACCTTGTAGAACGTTGGTGTAAACTTTTTAGAACCGAGCTGAGCAAGCTGTCCCTCAATGGTCAATAAGTTACATATGTTTGTGCGCACGATGATGTTGTCTACCGTGTGGAAAACTTTTTTGTGCGACTTGACGTTGGGCCCATCATCCCGTCTGTGCACAATTAATAATGTTGATTGTTTCTTCGAGGGAAAGCTCTAATCCTGTTGAATTCCTTAACCTCAGAAACGTCAACCGCGGTGAACGAAACCTTTAATTTTTTCGTAGTGATCATCAACATTCACAGCGGTACCTAACGACAGTGGCTAACTTTTAGACACCCATGATAAAAACAAGTTCTAGTTTGAGGCTGACCAAAAAGGAACCTCTATGCCTAAATCACAGCCAAAATGCATGTCCCTTTCAAACAAACAACTGAACGACGGTTGGATGTATGACAACATCAATAAAATAGC